CCGAGGGAGCTCTGGGAAGCTGGAGGAAGCCGGGCTCTCCCAACACGGATGTGTGTGGTCTTGCTGGATACCTTCCTCTGTAGCAATAGTGTCTTTGAGGAGAGTAATTTGGTCGAACGTGGCTAAAATGTGCTCTGGCTTCTCCAGTTCCCTCTGCTTTGCAGGAAGGAGTTTGTGAGCTTCTGTAACAAGGAGGTGAATCCACCGGGAGTTCTGATAACGAGACGAGATCTGCAGACCCAACTTTGGTCAGTCTGAAAAAGCAGTTAATAAAGTGCATGATTTCCAGGAAGATGGAGAGTTGTTCAGATACTGTACTCTGCCAGAGGTAAAAAGCCAACAGGAGGATGGCGGTAGGAGAACCTAGCAGAGATGTGAGAACATGTACACATTTTAATGCCAAGGTGAAGGCAATGTCCAAGCTGGGCAGGCCAAACTAACCCTTCTGCAAGGTTATGTGATGCTCTGTTCTGTACAGGCCTGTTCTAATACAGGCTCCATACAATAACAGATGGATTTGTACTTTGTGTTCATGTTGGGGTGGTTATCAGCAGCAGATTCCCATCTCTCTTCCTAAGATAAGAAAGTATATTAATGTATGTGACGTGTAGGTACAGGTCCTCATGTACTGGCTTGTCCTGGACCCTGGAATACTACAAAACTCTGGTTGTGCTGGAGAATCAGAGGTGGACATACGAAATTTCGCAGAGCTCGAGCTGTTGCCCTGGCAGTCATCCATCTCGGCAATGCCTTGGCGTACACGGCAGCAGAAAAAGCGCTGGTGAGCACTGCACCTACGGCAGCACCTATAGGTGGTTTCTCTGTGCTAGTTTTTTATTTTGGATAAAACTGCTGATAATAGGTTCTCTGTCATGAACAACCCAATCAACAGTTAGTTTACAGTATAGATCTGCCTAACTTTTTTTTACTTACAATATATTACTGCAGCATAAAACATATTTTTTTCTATTGTTTTTTCCTCTGTAGATCCTAAAATAGGTTAAATGCTTCACAGGCCCAAACATAATGGCCATGCAGATGATGCTGATTGATAAATAAACTTCCAGACCCTGGTAAGCAGAGCTCTGGGGAGAGGGAAATGCAGAAGTTGTTACGTATGCCTGGGTTGCCGTGGATTTAACCAAAGCGGTGCTTACCCTTTTAAAAAAGTTGCTTGAATTGAATTAAAAACAATTCTGAAAATATATGAAGTTATTTTGGTAATAGTGTGTTTCAGTATAGCCCTGGCTTGGTGGGATATGTTTCTCATTGTTTGGTTTGCTGTAGATATTCAGGTTCACACCTTGGGCGGTATTGGGTGTGCCTCCTAAACTGAAGTGCTGTTCTAGCTAACCGCATGTTACATCTAAAACATTCTTTCCAACTAATTTACTATGTTTCTGCATTAACATCTTCGCACCACCTTAACTGTCCCTCAACTATTTTTTTTTTAAAAAAGCAGCATTCAAGTTTCAAAAAGGAGCCTGCAAAAGTTAGACATCCAGCTGCTTATTCAGCCGTCTGCGTTGCATGAAGCCTCACTAAGACATTTTTTTTTTAGGCTTGACATTTCACATGTGTTGACACCAAATGTTTCCTGGAGCTTGGTAAAAGACAATAAATACAGAGAAGATGCTTTGCTTAGTGTTTATGTGCTGGTTTACAGACTAACGGTTCAGACAGGTCAAATTTAGGCTGACTCCTGACCTTGCTGACAGTGGTTGCACGCTCAGTGCTTTGGTATGAAGACACATGAAAGGAAGGATCTTGAATCCTACCTATGGCTTCCAGTGCTGCAGATCAAGGTCTTTCTTACATCGTACAAGAGAAATGGGGGGGGAAAGGAAGTTTAATTAACTACATCACAGTTCTTTCAAAGTTGATTTGATTCTTCATAAGCTTCTGCAGCTCAGCAGAGCTGAGACCCGAGCTGTTTCGTATTCTGAGGCGTCCAGCTTCTGCGCGAGCACAGAGTACGTTGAGTTATTAAGACACTCAGTTTGTTTGTGCCGTTCCCAACAGCTCTGCAGAGCAGCTATGGACCCAAGAACCACGTCTGGAGTCTCACTGTACCATAGAGTGAGATCTAAACTCATTTGGCCTCAGAACTGAGTGCCACCAAGGAGCATGCTTAGAGATAGTGCTTCAACCTGCAGCTTTGGAGCAGCTTCTTGGGACACATTACTGCCATAAATGATGAGATGTTCCCCAGGACAATTCTACGTCACATCTAAAGTGCTTGAAGTGTCTTTTCAGTGCAACCACCCGCATTCCCCCGTGTGTCAGGTAACCTGAGTTCTCGCCACCCCATGCATCAGGACTTGCACTATTTCCCCTTCCGGCCTGCGGCCCGCACCGCGTGCTCCTGGACTGCCATGGAGAGGGCCGACCAGGACAACGGGCACCGGGTCGTGCAGCCAGGGACACACAAGGAGCCCCCGAAGCCTCACGGCTATCCACAGCGGGAGGTAGGGCAGCATGGGGGGTGCATGGGGAGGGCGTGTGCGTGGGGACATTTTGGCTGGCGGGTACACCGTAACACCGTCCGTGTCTGCGAAGCTGTCTGCTACAAACTGGTCTTTGTTCCCACCGATCAACTGTTTTTCTCTATTGTTGCCAAGTCTGAAGACGCTTTCTCCTTCTCTGAATTTGTTCCTGCCAGGCAAGCACGTTTATTTTCCTGTAGAAGAGAACTGGATGATAAACAATTGACTGAAATTTAGTTTCAAGCAGTATTTTTCTCCTAAGCAAGGATGCTTCCTGACCTGGCCCAGTGTTGGTGATGGCTGTGCTTGGCGTGGGAGGCTGGACTTGACACCCCAGAGGTGGCATCAGGCAACACTTGTGGGGCTCCCTTGTGCTCTTCTCTGTCCTCTCCAGTGGAGAGAAGATCTTAATTGTTTGAGTTCAAGTTCAGAAAGCAAATAAAGAACATTTTAGTTGTGAGATGGGAATTTCTCATAGGGGTTTGCAGGTCGAAAGAGAAAGTGAGCAAAGTCCTATCATATATGTGCATGAGGTGCAACTGTGGAAGCTGAGCTGTCTGTGAGATGTGCAAACATGATCCAGAAAGCAGAGTGGACCATTGTGGTTCTTTATAAATGAGCCTTTGTAATTGATTAGCAAGGCTTGTAGGCGAATATGCAGACTCTTCATCAGGTATATTAAATGTGCTACCTTCAGGAAATGAGTAACCACCTTTGTATCTCTTCTTTTACACTGAGAAATCTGTGGTGTTCTAATTTTACTGAATTATTTCCACCCTTCCTTGGTTTCTACAGTCCACCGATCAAATTTTTCCATGGGCTGCTGGATTATGATAAAAAGAGTCCCGGGGTTCACGTTGTCGTGGAGAAGGGACACATGGTGTTCTTCCATCCCCTGCTTATTCATGGCTCCAGAGCAAACAAGGTTTTCGAAAGATAGGAAACCGCCTCCAGATACAGCTGTTAATATTTGTTTTAGCTGCTAAACACCATCAAATTCTCCTTAACTAAGAACTGATTACAAAATAAGCGGGTTGATGGGACTGTCTGGGTGCAGAGTAAGCACCCTTACTGAGCACCCAGGTCTGCTCTGACCCTGGCTTCTCCCATTGCCACTCCGGTTGCTGGTAATCTGAGATGAAGCAGGTAAGGTATTGCTTTAGGTCGTGTGTGTCCACGATCTGGGATGCACGAGCTTTTTTCCACTGGCGATTCGTAACCGGTGTGGCAGTGAGTGATGCCCAATCTCCTCCCGCAGAGCATAAGCTGTCACTTTGCCAGCTCCGAGTGCTACTACATTGATGTCAAGAACACAATCCAAGAGCACCTGGAGAAAGAAGTGACTGAATTTGGACATGCAAAATATAAAGTGACTTCTCCCTCAGACCTCGCAGTAATCCTAAATCCTGACCTTATCTTGTAACTAGCAAGAATTTTTGGCCTTTCAGCTGGTAAGGATGCTTCTTGCTGCCTGGCTGTCTGTGCTGGAAAAGTGCCCTCGGCCTCCAGGCAGCCCCTTCATGTCTCTGGAAAGCAGCGGAGGAGCTCTGCAAGTTCTTCCTCCAGCTCTGCTCATCGCCATTCCCACCTCTGAGCTGCCAAAATGAATTTCATCCACGTGCCTTGGTATCTTTCAGGGAAGTGACCGTACCCCTGTGCTCGGCCCTGGTGAGGCTGCACCTCGAATCCTGTGTTCAGTGTTGGGCCCCTCACTACAAGAAGGACGTTGAGGTGCTGGAGCGTGTCCAGAGAAGGACAACGGAGCTGGTGAGGGGTCTGGAGAACAAGTCTTATGAGGAGCAGCTGAGGGAACTGGGGTTGTTCAGTCTGGAGAAGAGGAGGCCGAGGGGAGACCTTATCGCTCTCTACAACTACCTGAAAGGGGGTTGTGGCGACGAGGGTGTTGGCCTCTTCTCCCAAGTAACTAGCGATAGGACAAGAGGAAATGGCCTCAAGTTGCGCCCGGGGAGGTTTAGATTGGATATTAGGAAAAATTTCTTCACTGAGAGGGTGGTCAGGCATTGGCACAGGCTGCCCAGGGAGGTGGTGGAGTCGCCATCCCTGGAGGTGTTAAAAAATCCATGTAGATGTGGCACTTCTGGACATGGTTTAGTGGGCATGGTGGTGGTGGGTTGATGGTTGGACTTGATGATCTTAGAGGTCTTTTCCAACCCTAATGATTCTGTGATTCTGTAAATCAGCCCACCGAGGGCAAACTTATGCCAGCAGCTGTTTAGGTGACTCTGAACATGCGAGAATAGGAGGACAGAGTTTATTCAGTACCCATCTGTGGTGCCTTCCCTGCACACCACACCAACCCACTGAGCCTTTTGCCTTATTTCAGGTGTGGTTTGTGCACTGGGATTTGCAGCTTTTTATTTCATTTAGTGATGTCTGTACTTTTCTATTGGAGACTTGGAAGAAACAATGAATACGTTAATGGGTATTTTTATGCATACATGGCCAAACAGACAAGCTCATGCAAACAGGAAACACTGTCCCAAAAGATGGTGGCTTCTAATAAGTATTTTTGGAGGTTTTTGGTTTTTGTTTTTTCTTTGTTTTTAAATGCAGGGTGTTTGGAAGAAGCAAGCAAAGATCATGCAAGGAAAAAGGATTAATCTTTAAAGTAGCCTCTGAAGACCAGGATGGAAAATGTGTACCCGAGCTTCTGAGTAGACAGATTTATGTGCTTTTGGCCCTCTGTGTAAGAAACTTACCCAAATACTGCATTACAAAATCATTTTACACTAATACAGAATAGCTGCACTGAGGTTGAAGAGCTGATGTACTTTGAAGAAAACGTGACCTACAAAAAACAGAGTTGCTGTGGTTATTTTAGGTAATCAAAGAAAAGCAATGATGAGAGATGTGCTTTACTTGATTATTTTTTCTAATTTCTCTCTTGATATACTTTTGGGCTGATGCTCTATTAATGTAAGGGTATTAATAATCTTAATAGAATTATAAAAATTATTATAGTTAGATGAAATTAATATTATTAATATGAGTCTATGCACGACTATGTTTTTAAGATTTCTAACATCCTTTTTCCATGCAAAGTAAACACAGTGAATCAGAGTTTCATGCAAGTTTCAGTATGAGCTCACATGGGAATTCATTAGTACAGCCGATGAAAAAGTGGATTTTATTTTTATTTTTGAAATAAAGATTAAAATAGAGCAAAATCACGTTTGGTGGCTGTCTTGCACTATTTCTATAGTTCAGAAATTCTGCCGATGGGTGCATGGGTGAATAACCAAAGAAGTGAACCCTGGAAATGTAGGTGTTTGGTCTGAGAAAAATATCAGGATGCTGCAGCTAAGAGTCACCCAAAAAACATGTAACAGTTGCCTGTGTCCGGCCTGTCTTGCAGGACGTTTGGGTGACTGGGTGCAGGGCAACCGAGAGCAATCCCAGTGCTCCTGCCGCTGAGCCCTCCTGGTGTGGCTTGCAGGACTGGGGAGCCGCGCAGGGATGGCTCTTCTTTATTCCAGGGAATCCCGCTGCAGTTCAGCTCGATGCTTTGGCTTGCTGAGGTGTAGTTTTTGGCGTGCGGGGCTGGACATCCACTCCCGAACGCTTCCAGCCCAGTGAGAGTTTGGCTTTACCACCGTTAATTTCTCCAAAAATCATCAGGACACATTAATAAGTCCAGAGCTGGTAGGTGCTTCCTTGGCACCAGATTGCAGTGCAGTTATGAGTCTTTTTGCTAACATTAAAGTCAATCTCCTTGTCGTGAGCTGAGGCCATTTTTTCTACTTTTAAATTCTATCAATCAGAAACTTCATGACTTTATTACAGCCTTTGCTCACAGATATGGCAATGCCAAAACCATTTTGGAGACAGCTTTGGGCAAACCACCTGCCAGTATCTCTTCATGTCCTCACTGCATGACTCCCCTGGTCCCAGCCCACATCCTGGCTTCCAGGCTGTTATAGCCAAATTTTCAGAAATTGAGGTATCGGTGCAGCAGTAGCTGAGTTATGCTGTGTCTGTGATTAAAAGCCAACTGTCCTAAGGAATTTTATTATGTGAAACATAAAACAAGCTGCAGCTGAAGGCCTAACGACAGCTTGTATAAGGAAAAACAGCATGCATGCTATTTATGGAAAGGTTTTATTTATTTTTAATAAGCACTTTTGTTATGCAACAGGCATGTAGCGAGGTTTCATGCAATCAGTCTATGCGCATGCATGTAGAGCAGACAGATGGCTTGTCCGTGGAGTATGAGGCAACCTGCATCGAACTGGAAGGTTTCAAGCCCATCATCTCCTTGCAAACATCTGGTCACCTGCACCATCAGGCAGGCTGCATGGTTTCAGGGCTGTGAGTGATGCTACAAGACTTAACATGTCCATGGTTTGGTGGCCTGATCTTCCCCATGTTGCTTTACCCTGTTGTGCTGTGTGAGGGTAAGCAGGAAAATTCAGGGACCTGAGCATCAGGGACGTGGTACAAACAGACCTGGCCCTGATTTTATCGTTGCTGCATCCTCCCCTTGGGTGTTTGCCCCCTGGTCATCGCTCAAAGCTGACAGGTGAGGGGAACATAGAGGACGGAACATTTTGCAGAGAGTGGGTAGATCTCTCTGCACCCATACCCAGCTCCCCTCCTGCTGGGGCTCAGGGTGATGCGCTCTGCGGGGGACACACCTTCCCTCAGCACCCTCTGCCCCCGAAATGCAGGGCAGCATTTATTGCCGCTGTTCCCAAGCCATTTTCTAGGCTGAAAACCCGATTTTTGGGATGGATTTACATAACTCACTGAATCTAGCCAGGGTGTTCGAGTACTTGATCACCAGGATCTCCAGGGCCCGGAATGAAACCAGACTGACAGCATTAGGTAGGTTTAATACACAGGGCATACAAGTCTTGGCATGTGCTAGCAACTAACCAAGGCCTTAATTTAGAAAGGTAATTAAGAGCCCATGTAATTACTTCCATGCTGCTGGTGTATGGGATGAGCTCAGATACAGGAGCACCAGGTGCCGTGATTTGCTTATGATGGGCTCCCATCCAGCCCTTGACCTCCTCACCCTGTTTACTCCAGCTCTGCAAGGGAAGGAGGAACCTGCTAATTTTATGCTCATTTATGTTCAGTGTCACCTGTCACGTGTCCTCTCCTAAAATCAGCACAGCCAACATGTGCTGAGTTATCTGGGGTTACAATGCAGGCGCTCACCTGGTCAGTACTCCCTGTCGGGACTGCAGCCCGCACCAAGGTCAGTTATTTTTGTGTTTGCACATGTGTCCTGTCCCCTGTGCCTTTCCCAGCCCCTATCTGTGCCTGGACAACCAGCCCAGACATGTCTGTTCTCCAGCCTTTAGCTGCTGTGGGGAGAGAGTGAGCAATTAATTACCTTTTCCTATGCAAAATATCCCCTTCTCCTTGCTCTGATTACTCCCCTGCTCCTTGTCTGTGCAAGTGGCGTGGGTAACCCAAAACCACAGCTGCTTCTCTCTCGGCTTTAAGTCTATGAAGACAGAACAGAAAAGCACAATATAAGATGCTGCGCTGGAGGGGAAACTGCGTGGCATGTTGATACGGCAGCAAGTCCGGCTGCCCGTGCTGAGAGCTGTCAGGCAGCCAGCAAAAGGCAGGAGCAAACAGCATGGCAGGTAGGAAATTCTGAAAGAAATCTAACAGTAAGGTACAAACTTAATAGTGAAAATAATTGTCCTGGAGAAGCCAGGTCCCCAGAGACACAAGGGATTTCCCTTCCCTCTGCATTTGCCTGTCATTCTAAAAGTCAGGTTTTGTGTTTTTGTCCAAGGGACCATGGACAAAGGTTATTTTGCCGTTTTTGAGTCACTGTTAGTCATATAAATAGAAAAGAGCCCTGATCGTCAGGCTGTTTGTTGTGGCTAACCCGGCAGGCAGCTAAACACCACACAGCCGTTCGCTCACTCCCCCCAGTGAGATGGGGGAAAGAATCAGTAAAAAGGTAAAACTCGTGGGTGGAGATAAAGACAGTTTAATAGGACAGAAAAGGAAGGGAAAATCATAACAATGATTAGGAAACAAGGGATGCACAATGCAATTGCTCACCACCCACTGACCGATGCCCAGCCAGTCCCCGAGCAGCAGCCACCAACACCTGGCCAATTCCCCCCAGTTTTATTGTTCAGCATGACATCATATGGTATGTAATATCCCTTTGGGCAGTCTGGGTCAGCTTGTGCCCCCTCCCAGCTTCTTGTGCACCCCTGCCTACTCGGTGGCAGGGCAGCATGAGAAGCTGAACAGTCCTGGACTTGGTGTAGGCATTGCTCAGCAACAGCTAAAACATCAGTATGTCACCAACATTATTCTCACCCTAAATCCAAACCACAGCACTATAGCAGCTACAAGGAAGAAAATTAACTCTATCCCAGCCGAAACGAGGACACTGTTTTTTCAGCCAGCAGTGGAGGACCCCAGCTGCACCTTGTGGCTCTCGCACATGGGCAGTGCAGGGCTGTTTTCAGGGCAAAATGAAATGGGATCTGCAACATGGCTTTCCACAGGAAATGAGAATAAAAGAACAGGAGAAAAGTTTTGCCTGCACTCCTGTCCCACATATACTTAATTTGGGGAGAGAAAAGCCAGGCAGCAAGTGGGCTGGGAAAAAGAAAATGATGTGAAATGGCTGGGTGAGCCCAGCTTGATGGGGGAGCTGCATGTGATGGCACAAGAGACCATTGCACAGGCTCTGCCATGAAAAACAGGCAAAAAGGAAGGTCCTTTAGTCGTGCATTTATTGCGAAATGGTGTTAAGTTTTCATTAAGCTGATTTTACTTGAGAGTTAATAAACCTAAACTGGCTAGTGAGGGGGAGAAAATGGTAAAGGTTTAATTTTTCCTCAAAGCGTTTGTAAAATCCAAGGAAACATAATTTGTGGCAGAGTGAGGTGTTTTAAATTAACATTTCAGCAGTAGCTGAGGGCTGAGGACAGGCAGGATGCTTAATGTATCTAAAATCCAAGCCTGATTTTGTAGGAGGTTATTATGAGAGAAGCTGGATATCTTCCTGCCTGTTTTCATATATACACAGGGCACTTCGTAGCTGCAGAAACAACCTTGTGGACAGGTGAGCATTTCCTGGCTGGGGAAAGGGTTGATTTATCAGCTTACTACTCTGCAAATCTTAATAATGGCTCTGAGAATCCACATTCAGCATTATATTTCCAGTGTGATTTTGCTTAACGATTTAGGATACATGGCAGCTTCTGCAACACCGCTGGCTTGATTCACCAGCAATGCTAGCAGCAGTGGTGGAGGTTTCTGTAATGTTAATCCACTGTAATGCCTTATACCTACTGGCAGTGTTAGGGCAGACTCCCATCCCTGGACCTAGTGGCTGCTCTCCAGGTCTCAACACAGCCTGGCATGCGATTGAACTTCTCTGTCATGAGGTTGGAGGCCTTTGTATCATGTTCCCAAAATTGGGACAGCTTCAGTAACGGCGTAGATCCAGCTGGGCTTGTCAGGTCACGCCCGAGCTGCCTCTCCTGGGTCTCTGCCTCTGCTCTTGCTCCGAGTATTGGTAGAAACGTATCAGTACGGACCAGAGACCCCGCAGGCTGCTCTGGCACGGTGTTGGGGCTGTGCGCTCATGTGGCAGCAGGCTGCAGCGGGTAGCTCCC